CACCAACGCTTGCTAGACACTCTTTTGGTTGTCCACACAGGCCAACATTTATTGTTTTTTTGTAGCCATTCTCACGCACTTATATACACATGTACGTACATATCATAAGCAGTTTATTATTTTGTCGCTTGATAATAGGGGAGGTTTTGATCCGCCCACGACTCCCAAACAAAAGCATCCTTCCTGGGTGTCTGGAAGCAGGGGGTCCCCCCCAAAAAAGTTAGCTTCAGAAGGGCCCAAGTGCGCCTCAGGACGGCGGTCTTGGGCCGTTCTGATGCTCGCTTGGGTGTTTGTTGGGCGGCCTTGAGATAATGGAAACCGCTTGAGCCATTTTTGGTGTCCTGAAGTTGGGAATTGCGGGTGGGCTGCAGGAGGCTCTCTCGGGCGCATTCTGAAGGCCCTCTGACGTCGTCCATGGACCTTCTTGGCCAAGCCAGATTCAAGGGTCATGGAGCCCTCTTCGTGGCAGTGTAGCAGCCCTCTGGTACTGTCGTGGTACCAGCTGGCGCAAGGCGAATGTGTCCAACAACGATTCTGGAGCAGATGACCCCCCAGCACTGGGCACCATCGGTGGGACCCCCCCCTTCCCAATGGGCCGGGCCAGGCTTCCAGTGGAGGAGTTTAGAGGGTGGCAACCATCCCACATGCCGAGGACTCCCAAGGTGCCGACGAATCCACTGAGATTGCGCCGACTCGAGGGGGACGGGCAACACGGGAACCATGACTTGGCGTTCATCTTGCGTTTTTTTGTATCTCTTTTTTTGTTTTCCCAAGTCATTCCCACCCAACTCGGCACCAAGGTCGAGGATCGTGTCTCTCTCAGGTTTTTTGTTCGGTCGCACCTGAACTGGCGCGTGTCCCCATCGGTCGTTGAAAGTCGGTAATTTTGGGATTTCCAGATCTCAGTCCACTCTAGGCGCCCGCCTACTTCGAGGGTCGACCGGCTCTACTTCGTCCCCCTTTTTTGCTGGGGCTGGAGCAAGCCCGGATTGCCTTCGGCGCCCTCTCTTGCTGCACGCTTCCACCTACCTCTTCCGACCGACGGGTATCGTGGCCTCCTTGTGCCCACGCTCCCTCCCCCACGGAACCGGAGCGGACTGAACTCGCGGAGCGAAGGGCCCAGCCCCATGCAGCTGCGGTGGTGGCGCCCGGGCTGGCCCCGTCCCCTCGCGTGCTGCGCGCCCCGGGCGGGGAGGGCCTCGGAGCTCCCCGGGGGGGCGCGCGCTCCGTGCGAGGAGAGGTCCCGGCATTGGGCGGAGGCCCGCCTCTGCGGGCGCGCCCGACTTGGGCCACGGGGGAAGCTCTCCCGAGGGGGCACCGCGAGGAGCGTGCCGAGGTGGGCGGAGGCCCGCACGCGGGCGCCCTCATCTGTGGCTGCACTCTCTGCCGAGGCGGGTGGAGGCCCACCAGCTGGGCGAGCGCCGTCGCGGGCGCAGCGGGTGGAGCTCCCCGTGGGGCGGGAGCCGTTGGAGGGCCGCGCCGAGATGGGCGGGGCAGCGCTGCGCGAAGGCGCCCCGCCCACCGAGGCCGCAAGCGGAGCTTCCTTTGGGGGCACGAGCCGCGCGGCTGGAGCGCCGAAGTGGGAGAGGCGACGCTAGGTCGAGCCCGCCCGTAGGGGGCTCTGTGTGGGGATCGTCGTGCTTCAATGTCCTCGTGAGTAGTGTGCCGGAGTGTGCGAGGCGACGCGATGCGAACCTGTCCACTCAGTGAAGTTCCTGATGGGGCAAGATCCGCGTGAAGTGTGTGCCTGAGTAGCCCGATTTTGTGTGAAAGCTTTGTCGACACGACAGCCGCAGCGGCGACAGAATGAGGAGGCAGGAGCCGAATTAAGATGATGAGGAGAGGGATGACGATGACGAGGAGGATCAGGATGAGGAGGGTGGTGGTTTGTGGTGGTGGTGATGATGATCATGATAATGATGATGATAATGATGATGAAGAGGATGATGATGATGCTGATACTGCTGCTGCTGATGACGGGAGGGGGATGAGGATGACGACGATGTTGACGATGACGATGACGATGATGATGGTGATGATGATAATGTGGTGCTTCTTGTTTTCGTATGGTAATTATGGTGTTGAGGATGTTGGTGATGACGATGATGATGCTGATGATAATGGTGATGATCATGCTGGTGAGGATGATACTGAATATGATGATGATGCTGTTGCTGATGATGTTGCTGATGCTATTGCTGATGCGGATGATGATGCGGATGATGATGCTGCTGATGATGATGCTGATGCCGATTATGCTGATTATGCTGATGATGCTGATGATGATGAATATGATGATATTATTAGTGATACATGACGAATATGTCTGGTTGCTGGTTCAATTGACGGCCCCCCTTGCGCTCGCACCCTGTTTCTCAGTGAGGGGAAGTCATGAGCTTAGATTTGCCTTGTTGCCCCCTGGGCTACAGCAACAGCAACAACAACAACAACAACATCAGCGGTTCCCGCCTCATACTTCTCTGCAGGTTATCCAACGTCGCGTTCTTGCTCGAGACGTCCTCGCACCTTCTGCGGACTCGCGCTTTCCCCCAGGGCGTCCCTGCAGTCTTTTTGCGGGGCGCTGTGCTCTCGACGTCAGGGGCTTCACTCTCGCACGAAAACCTTCGCACATCCTCTTCGTCCGAACTCTTGCTCTCGCCGCTCGCCCGAGGCCTCCTCCTCCTCCGTCTCCTCCTCGGCTGCCTCCTCCTCCTCCGCCTCGTCCGCCTCCTCCTCCTCCTCCTCCTCCTCCTCCTCCTCTTCCTCCTCCTCCTCGGAGCTGCACCCAGCTCACGTCCGTGCCCCGCCCGCCCGGGCCCGACTGGCAGGGGCCCGCCCGCTCGACCCGCCCGCCTGCCAGAGGCCGCCCGGTCGCCTGCCCGGCAGGCCCCGCCGCATCCTCGGCGGCGTCCCGCCGCGACCCGCCCGCGGAGGCCCGCCCGACCCGTCCGCCCGCCCGCCCGCTCGGATGCCCCGCCCGCCCGCCGCGCCTTCCGGGCCCGAGGGCCGCCCGAGCCGCCCGTGGGGGCCGCCCCGCCCGTCGGCTCGCCAAATCTGTCTGCTCCTCCTGCCACCCCCTCCCGCGGAGTCTTCTCTTCGCTCTCCCTCCTCCTCGCTTCCCTCTGCCCCTCCTCTTCTCGCTCTCTGCTCGCTCTCTCTCCCTGTTCCCCTTCCCTCCTCCTCCTCCTCCTGTTTCTGGCAGGCCAGGCAGGCAAGGCCACTGCACATGGCAGGCAAGGAAGGTGTACCCCAAACCCCACAAAGTGGTAGGGTCGAAGGCTACGAGGGCGGTTATCGATTGTTTTTTGGGGATACATCGTGAACGACACACTGGCAGGGAGTAGTGACCAGTCTTAAACACGATTCCTTTCAATGATGAAGGTGGTTATTGTCATGCTCATGATCAGGGCTGTGACCACGATGGTGATGATGCTGGTGATGATGATGATGATGATGATGATGATGATGATGATGATGATGATGATGATGATGATGATGATGATCATGATGATGATGACGACGGTGATGATGATAATCATGCTGCTGCTGATGCTGATGATGGTGATGATGCTGATGGTGGTGATGATGCTGATGATGAGGATGAGGATGCGGATGAAGATGATAATCAGGAATATGATGGTGATGATGATGGCAATGCTGACAGTGATGATCATGATGCTCATGATGATGAGAAGGAGGAGTGGGATGAGGAGAAGGACCACGGGGCTGATGATGCCGACCGTGGTAGGGATGCTGATGATGCTGATGATGCTGGCAATGGTGATGCTGATGATTATGATGATGCAGATGCTGATAGTGATGATGACAATGCTGATACTGATAATGATGATGATAACGATGATGGTGATGCTGCTGCTGATGATGATGATGCTGATGATGATGATGATCATCACCATGATGATGATGATGATGATGATGATGATGATGATGATGATGATGATGATGATGATGATGATGATGATGATGATGGTGATGATGATGATGATGATGATGATGATGAGGATGATGATGATGATGCTGATGATGATGATGATGATGCTGATTTTGATGATGATGACGGTGTTGTTGATGATGATGGTGATGCTGGTAACGTTTATGATGATTACGATGATGCTGACGATGATGACGACGATGATGATGCTTCTTATGACTATGATGATGATGATGATGGTGCTGACGCTGCTGATGATGACGAGTATATGATGAGAACTGTGATGCGAATGATGACGACGACGATTATGGTTCTCTTGCTGTTGATGATGATGGTTGTTGTGATGATGATTAAGTTGATGTTCTATTATGGTGATGGTGCTGACTATGCTTATGCTGGTGGTGGTGATGATGCTGCTGCTGATGATGATGCTGATGCTGCTGCTGATGATGATGATGATGATGATGATGATGCTGATGATGATGATTCTCATGGTTCCGACTATGATGATGTTGCTGATGTGGAGGAGGAGGAGGAGGAGGAGGAGGAATAGGAAGAGCAGGATGATGACAAGGAGGATGCCGAGGACCAGTTAGAGAAGAGAGGCGCGGTGCAGCCGGTAGGAACCCTCGGCCCGACAACACAGGAGGGCTGGGAGAGACGGTGTCCCTGACATCCGTGCTCGCCCACCTCCCAGCAGCCCCTCTCCCAGCACCCCCGCCTCCTCTCCGTCGCCCTCGAGGCGCTCACTCCCGAGGGCTCCAGGGCCTCTGCAGGGCACCGGCTCTCTGGAGGTCCCTCTTGGAGGGGGCGGGCAGGAGTGGCCGACGGCGTCTCGCAGCTTCGACCCTCGACTCTCGACCCTCGACCCTCGACCCTCGACCCTCGACCCTCGACTTCGAACTACGACCCTCGGCCCTCGACTTCGACTTCGACCCTCGTCTGGCAATTTCGACCCTCGACTTCGAGCAGCGACCCTCGACCCGCGGTGCTCGGCCCTCGATCGTCCACCTCCCCAGCCCGCGCGTGCGGGCGGCTCGCCCCGCAGGCCACGCGGGGAATGCCTTCGGCCCGGCTGTTGTGGACGTGTCGTTCGACCAGCAGGGCCCCATCGATCACGTGCACCGGGGAGGGGGTCCTCCCTCTTCTTCGTCCTGGTCCACGTCCTCCTCCTCCTCCTCCTCCTCCTCGGCCTTCTCGTCCTGTTCCTCCTCGTCCTCCTCCTCCTCGTCCTCCTCCTCCTTGTCCTGGTCCTCATCCCGTCCTCCTCCGTCCTTCATCCGCCTCCCTCCTCCATTTCTTCCCTTGAGGGCCCATCGAGTCGTATGTTGTTTCGCCAGGATCGGAACGAGGTCCCCAAGAGAGGCCCCCGCGGCGTGATGAGAAGCCTTCTTGAGAGCCTCAAGAGCCGAAGTTGACCCCGCGATGCCCTCAGGATGGCCCCAGTGGGCGCCATGTGCAGGTCGCAACTCTTTTCCCCAGCCATCCTGTTCCTGCCCTCTTCTTGGCTTCTACCTCGCCGTTCTTCCTGGGTGGGCTGCGAGCCGTGAAACTGTCGCCACTCTCAAGGGCTGCTGGAGAGTCCAGCGGAGTGACGCGCTACGCGGATTCTCATTGGGCCTCATCCCGGGTGAGCTGCGAATTGCGAATTAGTCGCCTTTTTCGAGGGGTACTGGAGGGTCCAGCGGAGTAACACCCAATGCAGATTCAGATTTGACCTCGCCATCTCTGGGGGGCTGTGATCTGCGATTCTGTCACCACTTTCGACGGATGCTGAAGGGTCCAGCGGAGTGACAAGCTACGCAGACTCAGATTAGACCTCGCCGTCCCGGTGGGATGTGCGAACTTGTCGCCACTTTCGAGGGCTGTTTGTGGGTCCAGCTGAGTGACGCGCTACGCAGATTCATATTAGACCTCGCCACTACTTGGGGGATGCGAACTGCGAATCCGTCGCCACTGTTGAGGGCTGTTGGGGGGTCCAGCGGAGTGACGCACTATGCAGCTTAATAATAGATTTCGCCATCTCTGGAGTGGGGGGTCTGCGAAGCTGTCGCCGCTCGCGAGGTCTGCTTGGAGGTCCAGCGGAGTGACGCCCCACGCAGATTCAGATTAGACCTCGCCATCCCTGTGTGGCTGCGATGTGCGAATATGTCGCCACTTTCGAGAGCTGCTGGGAGGTCCAGCTGAGTGACGCGCTACGCAGATTCAGATAATACTGTGCAATTCGTGGGGGGGTGGGGTGGGGGGGATGCGAACTGCGAATCCGTCGCCACTTTCGAGGGCTGCTGGGGGTCAGCGGAATGACGCACTACGCGGACTCAGATCAGACCTCGCCACCCCTGGGGGGCTGCGAACTTCGAGTCTGCCGCCACTTTCGGAGCTGCTTTGGGGGTCCAGCGGAGTGACGCGCTACGCAGATTCAGATTAGACCTCTCCATCCCTGTTGGGCTGCGATGTGAATATGTTGCCACTTTCGAGGGCTGCTTTGGGTCCAGCTGAGTGACGCGCTACGCAGATTCATATTAGACCTCTCCACTACTTGGGGGCTGCGAACTGCGAATACGAGGGCTGTTGGGGGGTCCAGCTGAGTGACGCGCTACGCCGATTCACACTAGACACCGCCATCCTTGGGGTGTTGCGAACTGCGATGCTGTCGCCACGTTTGAGGGCCGCTGGTAGGGTCTGACTGAGTGACGCGCTACGCGTACTCAGACTAGACCTCGCCATCCCTCGGGGTCTGAAGTGAAAATCCGTCGCCACTTTCGAGGGCTGCTGGGGGGCCCAGCACAGTGACGTCCCACGTGGACTCGGGTTGGACCTCGCCATCCCTGGCGGGCTGCGAACTGCGAAACAGTCGCCACTTTACCCCCCCCGGGAGCCCCCCTCCTGGATCCCCCCCCGCTACCCCCCAAAGGGAAGGGGCTTCCCTTAGTTACGACGTTGTTTGATTTCCGTCTGGATCGATCGCTTGAGGAGTTGGGCCGCCCAGGAAAAGGGGGGAACCGGCGACGGCGACGACGACGACAACTCAAACGGAAAACCGTCTCACGGCGCATCTCGAACGCAAGTAAGAAGACCCCCTTAGTGCAAGCATGGCTCCGAGTCCATCGTGATCTGAATTCGTGGTCTTCCCTGGGATCCTCTATGGCAACCTCGATTGTGACTCTCTTGTGTGTTCTTCGTCTCGTGGTGGCTCCTCAGCGAAGATCGGCCGATCTCCTCAGTGGCTCCTTCGTGCCTCCTCAGCGGCTCGTTGGGGCTCCCCGGTGGCTCCCCGGTGGCTCCCCCGTGGCTCCTTCGGTGGCTCCTTCGGTGGCTCCTTCAGGCTTGCGCGGCCGCGGCGCGCCGCCGTTCAAGACTCCTACACCCTAGGGCCGCGTCAAGAGCGGAATCTCTGCTATCTTCTAGCCTTGAGTCGGGCATGTCCCTTTACAGGGGGAAAGTGCAAGGATAGTAGAAAAATAGTCTGGGGATGATGCATCGACTACTTTTGGGTATGTTTAATTTAGTTTGTTTTTTTCTCCGCCCCAAATCCGCCTGTAGGGGGACATGCCCGACCTCATTCTAGCCTCCCCACCCGCGCGCGCGGAAGCGCGCGCGCGGGCGCCGCGATCGACCACCGATCTCCTGGGGTGCACGCTGCGGAGGTTGAGGAGGAGGAGGCGGATGAAGCGGAGGACGGGTTGTCGATGGCGGGGCCGTGCCATCGTGGCGCCAACGGAAGCGCCGCTGAGTGCTGCTCAGTGCCGCTAAAGTGCCGCTGTCTCGGGGCTTGTTGGTGTGAAACAGGCCCCCTGGAGAGGTCACACACACACACACAAGTTTGATACAAAGAGCGTGTCGACCAGGCTGGCTGTTTCCAGGGCGCCCCAAGACGGCCACCAAAACGGCCCAGGAGGGCCCCAAGACAGTCCCAAGAGGGCCCATATTCACCGTCCGTCTCGGCCCCCTGCGTCCTTCTCTTCCTCAGACACACCGAGCAGGGAAGGTGGAGTGGTTTCGGAGAGCATGCGCTGCCTCACTGTCCGAGGCTGCGCTCTCGCCGTCCCGTCATTCTTGGTGCTTCCTCCCGTGTGCCCCTCTCCCCTTCCAGTTGCAGTTGTGATCCACACTTGTGCATCAGCGTCTGCACTGGCATCGGTTGTCGGAGAGAGTCAGTCGTGGCCGAGTGCGCATGTACGTGCTTGCTTGCCAGACGTTCCGTTTGCTCTCTCTCTCTCTTTCTCTCTTTCTCTCCTCTTTCTTTTTCGTTCTTGTCGGCCATATTTCATATCTTTCAATGCCCGCTCCGTTCATCATGGACGTGCCCCCCGCAGCATCCGAAGTGCGCCCTTTTCTCCTGCACTTGCTGTTCTTGGCGTCCACCGATCTGTCCGCCCATGCTTTCGTACATCTGGCTCCCTTTGCCTGGCCGTCCACCTCGGCTGTGCGCCGCTCACTGTTCGGAGCCCTTCCCCCTCCCCTGGCCAGGCCGTGTGTCCGCCCTTCGCGCAGGCGCCGATCGTCACCTCGATGCTGAGGCGCAGACCACACTCCTCTCTTGCCGCGCCTGCCTGCCCTCCGCCGCTGGTTTTGCATCACCTGGCTCCGAGGCGGGAACTTGTGCATGACCACCGCCTGGAGGGTCAGTTTTCGGAGCCTCGGCAGGCGGTGGATGTGGACATCTTCGGGCCCCCGGGGGCCGAAGTATATTCGTAAGTCGGGCCTGTCTCTCTACAGGGGGAATATTCCCAAACAGTAAAAAAATAGTCAGGGGACTATTTTTGTAGCATTTTACATCATTTTGGAATATTTTTTGGGGTATTTTTTATTTTTCGTCGAAAATCCCACTGCGTGGGGACACGCCCGACGTACGTGTTACCACCGGGTCGTCGGCTCCCAGGCGGTGGCCGTGGACAGCTCCCCTCCCCGCGCCCGTGGCCCTCGGCCTCGGGCGGCCCTGCCTCCCCCTCTGCCCCCCCCGGCTGTGGGCCCGCCCACGGCTGCCGCCGTGCGCGCTCTCCTCCCGGAGGTGGCCGGCCTTCGTCGGGCCCCTCCGGGTGGCCCTCTGCGCGATCGGCCGGGAGCCCCCTCGGGGGACTTCTCCGGGAGCCCTGCACTGCGGCGGGGGTCCATGCAAGCGGGGGTCAGCCGGAGCGCCCGTTCTCTGCGGGGTCCTGCAGGGGCAGGGTCGCGTTGACCCGGGCTCGGGCGCAGGGTCCTGCAGGATCCTGCAGGATCCTGCGCGTTGCGCCCGGCTTGGGTGCAGGATCTTGCAGGATCTTGCAGGAGTCTGCAAAAAGCCTGACTGACCCGGGTCTGGACTGACCCGGGTCTTACCAGCCTCGAACGTATCCCTATCCCTAAGATCGACACGCCCAAAGGCGATGACAGTCTTAGGGATTCGCCCTCAAAAGATGAGGGAATCCCTAAGATTGGCATCGTGATGAGGAGGTGCCCAGCATAGGGATAGGGATATGTTCCAGGCTGGTAAGGGCCAGGAGATCCCCGACCTCTTCAAGGGGCCAGAGCAGCCTCGCGTGCGGCACGCCGCGCACCCCTGCGGCAGGCCGCGGGGGGCGGCGGCGGATCGAAGACGCCGGCGGCGAGTCACCGCGCCCCATGCCTCCTGGAAGGAAGAAGGCGAGGAGGGGAGGGAGGAGAAAGGGGGAGGAGGAGGAGGAGGAGGAGGAGGAGGAGGAGGAGGAGGAGGAGGAGGAGGAGGAGGAGGAGGAGGAGGAGGAGGAGGAGGAGGAGGAGGAGGAGGAGGAGGAGGAGGAGGAGGGGGAGGAGGAGGAGGGAGGAGAAAGGGGGAGGAGGAGGTCTCTTGGGAGCCTCTTGGCGGCACTTTTGGGGTCTCTTGAGAGTTTCTTGGGGGGCCTCTCTGAACCGCCTTGGGTGGGCCCTCCTGGGGCACTTCAGGGCAGTCTTGTAGGCCATCTTGGGCGTCTTGAAGGTCTCCTGGGCCGTCTGTGTTGGGGGCGTCTTGGGCGGTCAGGGGGCCATCTCGGAGGCCTCCTGCGCGCCCTTGGGGCCAGCTTGGCGGCCTTTATCGGGCTGGACGAAAGGGGGGGATGGGGACAGGGGTGGTTACGAAGTCTGCTGCATGCAGCTGGTTTCCGCCCCGCCGCCGGGCCCATTCCTCGATACATGGTCGCCTCCTGGCGCCGGGAGGCGCCAGGAAAATCAGCTACGTAAGCTGATTCTCAAAGCCCCCCCCTTTTCTGGACGCCCGAAATGGGCACAGAAAGAATGGGTACAATGCCCAACAGCAGTTCCTGTTCATTCTGAACAGGATTCGCTGTCCACGCCGCCGCGGCCTGTGTCCATTCGAGACAGAAGGCCGCCTGCCCAACAGCGGCCGCTGTTGGTTTGGGACAACATTTGTTGTTGGGCATAGTACCCATTTTTTCCGTACCCATTCCGGGCGTCCAAACCTTTGCTATCCCCCCCTTTCGCCCGGCCCGAGAAGTCCGAAAATCAGCAACCGCCAGAGTCGTTTTAAGCCAAACGAGCACCACGGAGTTTGGCCTCTTCGGGCCTTCCCGGAGGTCCTCTTTGGAGGCCTCTGGGGCCGTCTTGGGGGCCCCTTGGGCCTTCTTGGGCCCTCGCAGGGGGCCATCCTGGGCCTTCTCGAGGGCATCTCGGCCCGTCTGACAGACCTCTCGGGGCCATCTAGGACTCTCCTGGGGCCATTGTGGCCGTCCTGGAGGCCATCCTGGCCGTCTTGCAGGCCATCCTGGGGGCCGCGTGGCTCGGGAAGGCCAGCGACCTGGGAACCTCACGGGTCCGTGTGGGGCGGAGGCCCGAGGGGAACCTTCTCTCCCGCAGGGCTGGCGCATGCGGTCGAAGCCCCCCGAGAACTTCTAAAAAGAGCAAGGGCCACCTAATGTTTGGCACGCCGTGCACCCCTGTGGCAAGTCATGGCCCTCGCCGGCTTTTTTTGAAGCGCCTCTTTGTCCATTTGTTTGGCGAGAGCTTTGCCGCGCTATCGGACTGTGTATTCCCACAGCCGATCTGAAAACTCTTCGTGGAACACTTTGAGGGAGGATGATGGGGGAGGATCAGGAGAGAGGATGAGGAGGAGGAGGAGGAGGAGGAGGAGGAGGAGGAGGAGGAGGAGGAGGAGGAGGAGGATGCCTGTTGGGGCCTTTCTGGAGGACCTCTTGACGGCCTCTGGCAGACTCTGGAGACGTCTTGGAGGACTCTTGGGGGCCTCTTGGGCCGTCTTGGGCCATCTTGATTGAGCCCATGCTACACCGTCTGCGGATCATCCTGGGCCGTCCTGGAGATACTTTGCGGCCATCTTGGGCGCTCTTGGGGCCACCTTGGCCGTCGTGGAGGGCATCTTTTAGCCGTCTTGGAGGCCCTCTTGGAGCCACCGGGAGCAGACAAATCCTTGCGTGCCGGCTCTGCCGCACGGCCGGCGCGATCGACCGAGACCCCACGGGGAACCTTGATCAAGGACCAACAACAATCAGGAGGGGACAAACACACACAGACACAATGAATCGTCGATTCCCAAGAAATGATTGGAAAGTATGGGAAGTGGGGCGGAAGAAAAAAAACACCCAGTATATATAATTATATATATGTGGGAAAACATGGGGAATCCTGTTATTTGTGTCCGAGGGCCCCTTCACACAAACAATTACCGAAAATCTGGCACGCTGTGCACCCCTGTGGCAGGCCACGGAGGGGCAGCGGATCGCAGACGCCTCAGGCGAATCACCGCCGCCCCATGCCTCGTGGAAACGCCCATGCGGCTAAACGTTGGGCTGAAGTCTGGCCAAGCTATAGGACTATGTGCTCCTCCAGCCGTTGTGGAACCCCTTGGGGGAACATCAGGGAGAGGAACGAGGAGAGGTAAGGGAAGGAGGAGGAGGAGGAGGAGGAAGAGGGACAGTAAGTCGTGCCTCAAGGCTTGAGAGAGCCGTGATGATGAGGATGCTGAGAATTATGATGGTGATTGGGCTGAGTTCGACAATGACGATGATGCTGATGATGATGGTGATGATGCTGATGGTGGTGGTGATGATGCTGATGACGCCGATGATGCTGGTGATGAGGACGAGTATGAGGATCAGGATGCTTTTGCCTATCGTGATGATGAGGCCGATGATGATGATGCTGATGATGATGATGATGATGATGATGATGATGATGCTTATGCTGCTGCTGATCTTGATGATGAGGATGATGATGGCGGTGGTGATGATGATGATGATGATGATGATGATGATGATTCTGATGACGCGGATGATGCTGGTGATGAGGACGAGAATGAAGCTTAGGATGCTCATGATTATCGTGTTGATGTGGGTGATGATGATGATAATGAAAATGCTTATGATGTTGATGGTGATGGTGTTCATGTATATAATGAGGATGATGATGCTGTTGGTGGTGGCGGTGATGACTATGACGACGATGATGTCGATGATGGCGACGGTGGCGACGGCGGCGGCGGCGACGTCGGCGGTGGCGATGACGCTGTTGATGATGCTGCTGCTGCTGATGATGATGATGAAAAGGCTGCTAATGCTGATGATGACGATGACGATGGTGATGGTGATGGAGAAGAAGAAAATGACGATGAGGTTGATCATGCCGATGATGTTGTTGTTGTTGTTGTTGATGATGATGATGATGATGATGATGATGATGATGATGATGATGGTGCTGACGCTGATGGAGGTTCTAATGATGCTGCTGCTGCGGCTGCTGCTGCTGATGATGATGCTGCTGCTGACGCTGCTGCTGATGATGATGATGCTGATGATACTGATGCTGATGCTGCTGCTAATGATGCTGATGATGATGCTGATGATGATGAAGAGGAGGATGATGCTGCTGATGATAATGATAATGCTGCTGCTGATGATGATGCTGCTGATGATGATGACGATGCTGATGATGCTGATGCTGATGATGATGCTGATGCTGCTGCTGATGATGCTGATGATGATGCTGCTGCTGATGATGATGATTCTGATGATGCAACTCGTTTGGGATGTCTTGGGGCTGCCTCGGCCTCCTGTGAGGCAGTCTCGGGGTTCCCGTTGGGGCCCTCTTGGGCCGTCTCATGGCCCTCTTACGCGGGCCTTGGTTTCTCTTGGGCCGCCTTGGGGCCCTCTTTGCCGTATGCTCGGTGCCTGGGGGCCGTCGTTGGGCCGTCTTGGTGCCGCCTTGGTGCCGCCTTGGGCCGTCGAAGGGCCGTCTTTGGTCCCACGGGAAGTACTCATGGGCCGTCTCGGGGTCGTCTTGGATGCCTCTTGGGCCATGGCGGAGTCCGCTTTGGGCCCTCTTGAGCTGACGGCAGCCCGAATAGGCGAGACGGCAAAACGAATGCAGATAACGGCGGGCAATTTCCGATGTTTGCTTCTTCGGGCCCTGCTGGAGGTACCTGGTAGCCGTTTTGGGCCCTCTTGGAGGCATGCTGGGCCGTCGTGAATCAAAATCCATATCTTGGGGCCATCTTGGGGCGTAGTCGAGGCATCTTGGACTCTCTTTGTGTCTTACCGCCTTGGAAGCCCAGGACGCACATCCATCGTTGTTCCCAACCATCCTGTGGTGTTGGGCCTTCGTTTTGAAGAGACAGCGCCCCGCGTCCTTTCCTTCCTCCTCGCCCTCCTTCCTCTTTCCCCCATCATCGTCGTCATCACCATCATCATCATCGTCGTCGGCGTCGTCGTCATGAACATCGTCATCATCGGCATCATGACCATCATCGGTACCAGTATCACCATCATCGTCGTCATCTTCGCTGTTATTAACACCATCATCGCCATCAGCTTCGTGACACGCCTGACACGTTTCGTTGCCCCGTAGGGAGCTCCGAAGATCCAGTGGCGGTGTCCACATGCGTCTGCGCCACCCATGTCCCCCCCCGCCCACACACACACACACACACACGTCTCGTGGCCCCATGGGGAGCTCCACCGAAGGCCCCAGTGGCGATGTTCACATGCGTCCACACCACCTATTTCGTCGCACCCCTGACACGCTTCGTGGCCCCATAGGGCTCCACCGAAGGCCCCAGAGGCGGTGTTCGCACGCGTCCGCGCCACCCATTCCGGCGCACCGCTCACATTTTTTGTTGCCCCATAGGGAGTTCCACCGGAGGCTCCAGTGGCGGTGTGTACATGCGTCCGTGGTTCTCCTGTTGGCACACACCTAACACGTTTCGTGGCCCCATGTGGAGCCCCACCGAAGGCCCCAGTGGTTGCGCCCACACGCGTCCGCGCCACCAATTTCGGCACACCCCTGACACGTTTCGTGGCCCCATAGGGAGCGCTGCCGAAGGCCCCAGTGGCGGTCCACATGCGTCCGCGCCACCGATTTCGGTACATCCCTCGCACGCGTCGTGGCCCTATAGGGGGCTCCACCGAAGGCCCCAGCGGCGGTGTCCACATGCGTCCGCGCCACCCATGTCGCCTCCCCTCCCCCGCACGTCTCGTGGCCCCATGGGGAACTCCACCGAAGGCCCCAGTGGCGATGTCCACATGCGTCCGCGCCACCCATGTCGGTACACCCCGAACACTTTTCGGTGGCCCCATACGGAGCCCCACCGAAGGCCCCAGTGGTTGCGTCCACACGCGTCCGCGTTACCCTCTTCGGCACACCCTTCACACGTTTCGTGGCCCCATAGGGAGCTCCACCGAAGGCCCCAGCGGCGGTGTCCACATGCGTCCGCGCCACCCATGTCGGCGCACGCCTGACACGTTTCGTGGCCCCATCGGAGCTCTACCGAAGGCCCCAGTGGCGGTGTCCACATGCGTCCGCGCCACCGATTTCGGTACACCCCTCGCACATGTCGTGGCCCTATAGGGGGCTCCACCGAAGGCCCAATTGGCGGTGTCCACATGCGTCCGCGTTGCGTCCGCGCCACCTATGTCGGCACACACCTCACACTCTTCGTGGCCCCATCGGAAGCTCCCCCGAAAAACCCAGTGGCGGTGTGCACATGCGTCCGCGCCACCAATGTGTGCACATTCCTAACACGTCCCGTGGCCCCAGAAAGAGCTTCACCGAAGGCCCCCGTGGGTGTGTCCACATTCGTCCGTGCCATGCACATATATATATATACACACAGATTTGTAGATGTTATGGGCTTACTGTTCTATATACCTATGAACTGATCGGCAGACACGGCTAAGCATACAAACGCATCGTTGTTGGCATATACACATGCTGTTTACGTATAAGGGGTGGATGTAGAGATGGGGGAGGGGGAGAGAGAGAGAGAGAGAGAGAAATAGAGATAGATACAGAGAGAGCGAGAGAGAGAGAGAGAGAGGGATAACGACACCAACACATGTATATATACAGAGAGAGAGAGAGAGACCGCGAGACGGAGAGAGAGAGAGAGAGAGAGAGAATGAGATAGGGAGGGAGACGCATACACCCAGAGAGGGAGAGAGGCACAGGGGAGGAGAACACTCGCAAACTTACAACATAAGGTTGTGGCCAGCTGTAGGGTAGGCATATCGCGTACTTGTCACGCATACCATTTTTGTGAGTAGATTGGAGAAGGATGAGTCTGAACACGAGGAACATGATGTAGACGGTGAGGGAACTGTATGAGCTGGAGGAACAGGATGCGGACGATGCGTATATGATGAGGTGGAAGCGGAGCGAAGTGAATGGTTGGGGCGGGAGGGATCGAGAGAGAGAGAGAGAGAGATAGAGAGGCACACATACATATTGTTTGGACGCTGTAACTGTGCCGTGTTTGCTTTCCTGGCGTCTGCACTGTTGACAGGTGTCCCGCGTGGTTCCGCAACACATGATGCGCATGTTCCGTGGAATGTGGCTTGGCGTACATGGCATTGCCAGCCATAAGGTTTGGTTTGATTGCCTATCCTAATACGTTCAAGTTTCTTCTTGGCCTTCTGCGCATCTGGTAATCATTGCTTAGGTGCATCAAGCTGTGGCTCCGCTTGCGGCAGATCCCCCGCAACAAGGACGGTCACTCATGACACGTGCCTCTCATTGATACAGGTAACCACCCACCACGTTATCGCAATGTTCCTTGCAAGCGTCCTTGGACTTTATACAACATTGATCTCACACTATTGGTTTCACTGGCCACGTGATTGCAATTTTCGACTTAGTCTTGCATTGGTTGTAGTACGTTTTATCACGTTCGCACCTTAGACCCTCATTCCGTCGGGATTAGGCCGTGCGTGTCTACGAGCGGCTGACGAGTCGACTCGAACGGATACGTGCATAGAACACATATATATACACATTCGACGGGGCCCGACCTCGGGAGGAGGTGGGCATGTACACTTGGACCTCGAGGAATTTGCTGTTGCTGCTTTTGGTACTTCTCCAGATCTTGCCTCTTCTTCCCCTTCCCCCTCCCCTACTCTCCCCCCTCCCCCTTCCCATGTCTACTTCTGTCCGTTTCCCTACCCTCTCCGCTCCTCCATTTTTTCCGAGCCGGTCTCTCGTGTTCGAGACTTTCCTCCCTGTATTTTCCCTTCGCCTTTTCTTCTTCATCACCCTTTGGTTCCCTCCCCGTTACGCCCTTCTTCACCGTGACCCTCGATCCGTTCCCTCCGCTCTCCACTCCCTTTCCCTCAACCCGTATCCCTCTCCGTCCCCTTCTTTTTATCATTCCGAGAGTATTCGGCAATTGCAAAATATGACTACTACTCGTCTCTCTCCCCTCCCCCTGTCTGGAAGATCTCCGCCCCCCCTCCGAGTCCTTGTGCAGAGTTTTTCCCAACCATCCTGTTGTGTTGGGTCCTCACTTTAAAGAGACAGCGCCCCGCGTTCCTCCTCACTCCTCCTCCCCATCCTTCTTGTTCCCATCGTCGTCATCCTCATTATCGTCACCATCATCATCGTCATCGTCATCATCGTCATCGTCATCGTCAGCATCATCATCATCATCATCATCATCATCATCATCATCATCATCATCATCAGCATCATCATCATCGTCGTCGTCGTCATCATCAACAGTGTCACCAACAACATCCATCATCATCAGCATCATCTTCATCACCATACTCATCGTCATCGTCGTCGTCGTCGTCGTCATCGTCACCGTCATCGTCATGGTCAACAACAACACCGACAACATCATGACCGTCATCATCGCCATCATCGTCATCATCATCACCGTCATCATCACCATCATTGCCATCAGCTTCGGCACACCCCTCACGCTCAGTGGCCCCATAGGGAGCTCCATCGAAGGCCCTAGTGACTGCGTGCACATGCGTCCCGCGCCGATTTCGACACATCCCTCACACGCTTCGTGGCCCCATAGGGAGCTCCACCAAAGGCCCCAGTGGCTGCGGTTACATGCGTCCCTCGCCCATTTCGGCACACCCCTGACACGGTTCATGGCCCCATAGGGAGCTCCACCGAAGGCCCCAGTGGTTGCGTCCACATGCGTCCCGCGCCCATTTCGGCATACCCATCACACGGTTCGTGTCCCCGAACGCAGATCCGCCGAAGGCCCCAGTGGCTGCATCCACATGCGACCCGCGCCCAGTTTGGCACAACCCTCACGCGCTTCGCGGTTCCATATGGCGCTCCACCGAAGCCCCCAGTGGTTGCGTCCACACGTGTCCCGCGCCCATTTCGGCACACCCCTGACACGCTTCGTGGCCCCATAGGGAGCTCCACCGAAGGCCCCAGTGACTGCGTACACATGCGTCCCGCGCCACCCATTTGGGCACATCCCTCACACGTTCCGTGGCCCCATGGGGAGCTCCACCGAAGGCTCCAGTGGCTGCGTCCACATGCGTCCCGCGCCCATTTCGGCATACCCATTACACGGTTCGTGTCCCCATACGGAGATCCGCCGAAGGCCCCAGTGGTTGCATCCACATGCGACCCGCGCCCAGTTTGGCACAACCCTCACGCGTTTCGTGGCCCCATAGGGCGTTCTACCGAAGGCACCAGTGGCTGCGTCCACATGAGTCCCGCGCCGATTTCGACACACACCTCACGCGTTTCGTGGCCCCGTGGGGAGCTCCACTGAAGGCCCCAGTGGCTGCGTGCACATGCGTCCCGCGCCCATTTCGGCACACCCATCACACGTTTCGTGGCCCCATGGGGAGCTCCACCGAAGGCCCAAGTGGCTGCGTCCACATGCGTCCGGCGCCCATGTTGGCACAGCCCTCACACGCTTCGTGGCCCCATAAAGGTGCTCCACCGAAGGCCCCAGTGGCTGCGTCCACGTGCGTCCCGCGCCTATTTCGGCACACCCCTCACACGGTTCACACGTTTCGTGGCCCCATGGGGAGCTCCACCGACGGCCCCAGTGGTTGCGTCCACATGCGTCCCGCGCCCGTATCGGCACAGACCTCAAACTTTTCGTGGCCCCATAGGGAGCTCCATCGAAGGCCCTAGTGACTGCGTGCACATGCGTCCCGCGCCGATTTCGACACATCCCTCACACGCTTCGTGGCCCCATAGGGAGCTCCACCAAAGGCCCCAGTGGCTGCGGTTACATGCGTCCGCGCCACCCATGTCGGCACAGTCCTCACACGGTTCGTGGCCCCACAGGGAGCTCCACCGACGGCCCCACTGGTGCCGCCCGCATGCGTCCCGCGCCCTTGTCGGGACACCCCCATGCGGCCAGCGCCGAGCCCGCTGTCGGCCTGGCAGCTAGCCGTTTTTGCTCCGCGCAGCGGACGACCCGCGCGCGTCGCCAGGACCCCTGCGGGGCAACGGGCGCGCGTCGCGGGGACTCCGCGTCGCGCTCTGCCCATCGCCGAGGTCACTAGGGCGCGAGAAGACAAAGGGGGAAACATCTGAGAGGCCCCGCGCCTCGTTTTTCCTGTGGCGCGCTGCCTATGAGAGCTATTCGGGGTTTGCGCCCTTCGCCTTCCCCTGGTCCTCCTGCTTCTCCCCTTTCTTCCGCTCCAGTCCTGCTTCTGCTAGTCGTCCTCGTCGTCCTCTTTCCTCCTCCTCCTCCTTCTCCTCCTCCTTGTCGTCCTGCTCATCCTCGTGCTCACCCGCCACCTTCTCTCCCTTGTGTGCGCAGCTTCCCGCTTCCGAGTGCGCCAAACACGGTGGGCTGTCTGGTGGCACGCGTCCACGAATTCAAAAGAAATCCGCGCCATCGGAAGGGTTGGGAGGGAGGTTTAAGATGTCAGATCTGGCGCGAGCGCACCTACCGTAGCACCCGCGTTGCTCTTGTCTTTCCCATGGCCGTGTCCAGCGGTGCTACCCGCCTCTCCCGTGTGAGTGCCTTCTGAGATGGGCTATTTTCCCAGCGTGGATCCCGACCGGAGAGTTTTCCCACTCTGGATGCTCATTTCGTGGGGGTGCAGCGTGCGTAGTGCAACGTATTTTGTTCACGCTTTGTGATTCAATGCTTGCGGTGCATGCTCTGTGTTGTGTGCTACTTGGTTCAGTATAGGTGGTGCAAACTGCGGGTTCCAACCTGTGAGGTGCAATATCTGTGGTGCAAGCTATGGGGTGCAACTTGTGTGGTGTAAGTCATGTGGTGCAGCCTATTGTGTGCAGATCACCCTGTCGAACTTGAAGTTGTCAACTCCATTGTTCGCGCAAACATCCCACCCACCCACCCGCAACTTGGTTTGCAAAACCCATGCGACGGCGCTTGCGATGAGTGCTTGGCGTTGGCTGGTGCATCTCTGCGGCCGCGCTAGTCCGTGCATGCTCGCGCGCGCAGCGGCCAGTTACTGCGGCGCGACAGACGCGGCCGCGGTGGCGCTGACCGCTGGGCACTTCCAGCGGGCGTTTCAGGAGGAGGAGGAGGACGAGGAGAGGGAGGAGGAGGAGGAGGAGGAGGAGGAGGAGGAGGAGGAGGAGGAGGAGGAGGAGGAGGAGGAGGAGGAGGAAACGGAGGAAACGGAGGACAGGGCTGGGGGCCGTAGAGGACGAATCCGGCACCCCCGGGATGTGTGCTGTCAGCCTGGATTTGGGGACCTCGTACGGGCCCCTGGACCGTGAAATCTTTGATGGCCGTCGATCCATCCAGGGATTGTTCTGGATCAGAGTCCTCAGGGATGAGTCGTAGGATATCATCGGAACGCTGTCGGAGGACGAACGGAGAAGCAGTGCCAGAGTTCAGAGGGATGCTTTGTGGGGTCCTTGTATGTTCCGTGGCTGACATGCTCAATGTTCGCCGTGCGCGCATAGGGAAACGGGCGAAAATCCACGTGCGCAAACTGCGGGCACCTGTCAAAACAACAGCGGAATCTGTGTTGAACGACCGTTCGCCCATTTCGTTACCGTGACGGGGTGGTGGGTCTGAGGCCACTCGGATGGCTGATGGGTGGGGCCTCGTGTGAGGCCTATCGGGAGCGTCTTGGAACCAGGTTTGAGGGCGTCTTGGAGGCCTCTTAAGTTGTTCTTCTGAACCTTTTGGGGCCCTGCTGGGGCTCCCTGGGGTCCTCTGGGGGCCTCTTGCGAGCAACCTGGGGGCGTCTTCGCGCCGAAAGCTAGAAGTCTCCGTTCGGGTTCCCCCTCTGGGCTCCGTCTTCGGGTGTTCTGGGGCCCTCTGGGGCTGATTTGGAGGCTGCTTTGGCCGTCGTGGGGTTTGCTGGGGCCGTCTTGAGGCCTTTTGGGGGGCCTGTTGGGTCGTCGTGGAAGAGGCGAATCTGCTGAAAGTGTACGTTCTCCCAACAGGAATGGGGCGATTTTTGCTTCTTGGGGTCCCCTGGGAAGGCCTCTTGGAGCGTCGTCGAGGCATTTCGGGCCGTCTCGAGGCCATCGGGAGCGTGTTGCAATGAGGTTCCGGCGATTCGGGGCTCTCCGGGACCATTTTGGGGACTTCCGTGGGGGCCCCCAGGCTGCTCTCGAGCTCCAGAGCGAGCCTGGGGAGAGCCGCCCCCCCCCTGATGGGTTCGGCCTGGGTTCGTCCGCGGCCATGGGGTGGGTAAAATTTCCGGTTTGGGGCCCACAGGGGGGGGGGGGGAGAAGGGATGGGGGGAGAACTTCACACGCCAGGAGACCCCAAGGGGTCGGTCGATAGTGTGGGGGGTCGAAAGTGACCTCTTGTGAGCTTTTGATTCCTCAAGTGAGCGATCGTTCGTAAGAATTTGGAAGAAACAGTCATGCCATCGGAGCTCCTCACATTCTGGTTTCGCTGGCTTGGTGTTTCTTGGGTTTTGGCTTGCGGGCGCACGTTGGTGCTTTGTGGGCGCCCCATGCGTTGCCTGGCGATTGCGCACTCCTCTGTGCAGCACGTTGAACGCACCACGTAGCATTCACGACATCGATAGCACAACATAGCTTGAAATGCACAGACAGCTTACGTCACATACATTACACCACATGTATTGTACCACGCAACTTGCACACCATAGCTGGCGCCACATAGATGTCACACGATCTGTTACATTATCTCGCATTCTCCGCGGAGGCTCTCCTTTCGAAATGAAATACAGGATCCCGTCCCTCCCGAGCCTTGACTTGCCCCCTCCATGTTGTCGCATCGCATGCTATACGTCGTTATGTTTCACTTTCGTTTTGCGGATGAAATCATATCGTCCCAGCCCAGCCAGTATCGGTTACCCCCGTCATCCCTGTCTCATGATGACATGCGCGTAGTCGTTGACGGCAACGCTGTTTGTCAAGGAACTCTTGCAGACAGTATCACACAGTTTACACTCACGCGCACGTCGACATCATGCGAAATACATTTGTTTTGTGCGAGTTTCAACATCATCCCTTTCAAACCTAATGTTCCTTCCCCAAACAGTGCTCGCCCGTAGGGGTTCTTACTTGTGCTCCTCAGGAATTGGTCGGTCCGTCGAGGTTGTGCCACGTTAGCGCCCGTTGATGTCTTGTTGCGGTTTCAGCTTGCAGCACGTATACTGCACCACAGCATTGACACACTGTTCGGGACCCTCGCATGGCAGCATTCACCAGAACTCTTGCAGGTGTTCTGTCCGCGCGCACCTTGTTGAGACCATGTAACAACTATCGGAGTTTAGCAACCTCGTCCAGAACCCGCATTCTCATCTCACCACGCGGTGCATCCCCGTTGATCTAGCATGCGCCCAGTGTACGATTCTGTGTCAAATAGAACCATGCGCGCCAGGGCACGCGCGCGCCGCCACGAGCGCGTGTGGACATTCATTCAAACACATTGGTTGTCGATGCGTTTCACGATCAAGTTCTTCAGTACCAATTGAAACCAAGCAATGGTTGTTCAACAACAGTCCTACTCAGAGTTAGAGAACATCTGCGTGCGCGCCCTTCCTCACCATCACCCCCATTCGTGCCGTCGCATCACCGCCTGCATCGTCATCGCCAGTATCGCCATTATCAGCACTGTCACCTTCATCACCGCCACATGGACATCATCATCTCCTTCATCGTCGTCACCAGCACCGGCGTTGTCATTGGCCTTGCCGTCGTCATCGTCATCATCGCTACCATCACTACCATCATTATCGCTGTAGCCGTTTTCGACATCATCATGATATCGCGCCCGCCCGGGTCACCGACCTGCACTGCAGTGCCCTCGCGCTAGCGCGGCCTTCGAGACGCGCTGGGAAGTTCCCACAGATAAGAGACATTGCGGCCGCACTAGTTGTGCCAAACCAGCTGTTCGTTCTGCGCGT